TCATACCTTTCTCATTTATAAAACTTTTTCTTACTTCGTTTGGTGGAAGTTCTAAAGCTTGGCTTCTGTCATTTATGGAGATCATCCTCAGTCTAATGATATATTTCCATGTTCCAGATATGTCAGCCAGAGCATTTTATGAGCCTATTTTAGTTTCAGAATACATTGTCAAGTATTTCAATCGAAATCTAACAATGCCTTTGTCTGACCAAGATCGTATGAAGGTATTCCTTATTATCTGATTTTAATTTTAACTTTTCTATCCCAACTGCATTTTGTAGCACTAGGGGAGCTGGTATTTATGTTATCTATATTTTTAACATGCCATAGCTTAACCGGTCAAAACATCTCCATGTTAAAAGAATAATTGTTGAGTCAGTCTGTACTTGGGAGTTTTTTTTTCCATGTTTTGGTTGGCAGATAATTAACATTAAATTATTTATTTCCATGATTAGCAACTGATTTCTTGCTGTTTTGTGCATTTTCAGGTGAAAAGAGCATTAAGAGGCATTAGGGTGCAGCTCGACCATCTGGAGCATGTCAAACGGTGCAAAATTTCAGGCGTGTCAACAGAACCTACTGAAAACTTGATGTAAGCTCATTTATTGTTTCTATGGGCGTGTTTTTTGGTTTTGTATTTTGAAGTATTTTTTGGGTAGCCAGCATGGCGGCTTACAAAGTGTACTGTGATTGGCTTTCCTATTTGTTGATATTACATGGCTTGTTTCGATAATGCTATACATTCAGTTCTTATGAATTATGTGATGTAAATTGCTTTCTTCTTTCTTTTCTGAATGCCATGTAGCATTGAGGGGAGAGACGTACTGCGAGTTCCTAATATATATGCCTTGTCTCCCTGATTGTTTATTTTATGTTATACTTCTCTTTGCAACCATCAAAATCCGTTCTTGTTATCCATTTCTAAAGCCATTAAAGCAATTGAGTTCTTATCTGTGAATATATTTTTCTTTTAGTATTTTATGTCTGAAATTTTTCTTTATAATTGACTAGGTTTCAGCTGGACGAGTCGGGGACAAGAATATCGGTGGCCCAATACTTCTACCAGAAGTACAATATTGTGCTCAAGTATCCATTCTTGCCTGCGATTCAGGCAGGCAGTGACACAAAGCCTGTTTATCTTCCTATGGAGGTAGCTTGTTATGATATGCATATTTTCTAACTCCCGTCTGTTTCTTGACAACTGCCCATTGTGGTTTTAGCTTATAATTCCTCATTCTTCCTTTGCAGCTATGCAGAATTGTTGAGGGCCAAAGGTTCTCTAAGAAGCTGAATGACAAACAAGTTACTGCACTTTTGAGAGCTAACTGTCAACGTCCGCGTGAAAGAGAGAGAAGCATAAAAGAGGCACGGGTGCATGATTTGCCAAATTGATTGCAATTTTTTCTCTATGAATATGCCTGAACATTATTTTGCATCTCTAAAATGAAATTGACTCTGTAATCTGGTTTCTAGTCCCTTGTATTATTTAACTTGATAGTGATCTACCTGCAGATGGTCAGATATAACGATTACAATGGTGATAGGCTTGTGAACAATGAGTTTGGAATTCAAGTTAGGCCTGAGCTTACTTCCATTGAAGCACGAGTTCTGCCCGCTCCCACTGTAACTTCTATATTAATGATTGTTTTGTGTGTTCTCGAATCGTGCCACCTTTTCTATATTTTCTAAAGTGTGCTGCCACTTTGGACTGCCAGCTGAAGTACCATGAGACTGGGCGGGAGTCACGGATTGATCCAAGGGTAGGGCAGTGGAACATGATTGACAAGGTGAATCTGCTTTCCTAAGTGTTTTTTTTTTTGGTCCGCTTGTTTAAAGGTTACTCGTGCTACCATGTTTTTTTATGTATGTTCACCTGCTGATTTACTGTTTTATTGCTGTAAGAAAATGATTAATGGTGGAAGGGTGGAGTTTTGGACATGCATCAACTTCTCGCAACGGTCCAACATAGATTTAAACAGGTTCTGCAATGAGTTGATTAGCATGTGTTGCAGTAAAGGAATGGTATGGATTTGTAAATGTTTGATTCATCATTGCAATTGATGCAACTTTGATGGCGCTGACAAACTATATTGTGTTCGCTTTCAGGAATTTAACCCAAGACCTCTGGTTCCATTTCGTTCGGCCCATCCTGGTCAGATCGAGAAGGCACTGATCGATATACACACGCGGTCTACCACAACACTTAAGCAAACAGGAAAACAGCTGCAGTTGCTCATTGTCATTTTGCCTGATGTCAGTGGGTCCTATGGTTAGCTACGCTATTCCTGGATTCTATATTTATCAAAGAGAGGGAATCGTTTCTAAAAAAAAGTTTTTTTTTTTTTTAATCTCAGGGAAGATCAAGCGAGTTTGTGAAACTGAATTGGGAATTGTCTCGCAATGTTGTCAGCCCAGGCAGGCATCAAAGTATAGCAAACAGTACATGGAAAATGTATCTCTGAAGATCAATGTGAAGGTTTGTTATGACACTACGTCCTGAAATGTTTAGCTAATTTTTTTGGTTTCCAGCATAAAATTATTGCATACATTTCCCATGTTTTTGTGTCATTGTTCAAATAGGTTGGAGGACGAAACACTGTTCTGGAGCAGGCTGTTCTTAAAAGGATTCCTTATCTGACTGATCGCCCAACCATCATCTTCGGTGCTGATGTTACCCATCCTCAACCCGGGGAGGATTCCAGCCCTTCTATAGCAGCGGTAGGTTGGTGACTTTTGGCATCCCCACCCCTTCCCAATTACACGCGTGTACAGAGAAAAGTAATCATCTATATTTTACAGGTGGTGGCTTCAATGGATTGGCCCGAAGTAACCAAGTTCAGAGGCTTGGTTTCTTCCCAGCAACGCGGGGAAGAAATAATACACGATCTCTATAAAACAAGTTCAGATCCTAAGAGAGGCACAATTCATGGTGGAATGATTAGGTTAGAAAACCGCAATTGATATTGTTTGCTTGGCATTTCCCCTTTCCTTCACCCGTCTTTGAATTTTCTTGCAGGGAACTTTTGATTGCGTTTTTCAAGTCCACCGGGCAGAAGCCTCACAGAATTATATTCTACAGGTCAAATTCCTTATTAGAGTTCATGTACCTTATTACACCTTCTCTATCTGGTCGTATTCTAATATTAATGCAAAATTCATAGGGATGGCGTAAGTGAAGGGCAATTTTCTCAAGTTCTTTTTCATGAAGTCGATGCAATACGGAAGGTACACATTCTTGGTGATTTTGTGGATTTTTTTATCTTGAATATAATTTAGTTTCCATCTATGAAGTATTTGTGGCTTACATAAACAAAATGACTTTCTTAGGCTTGTATTTCGATCGAAGAAAATTATCTACCACCCATCACCTTTGTAGTCGTGCAAAAGAGACACCACACACGTCTCTTCCCTGCTAATCATGGAGATCGTAATACGACAGACAAGAGTGGCAACATTTTGCCAGGTTTTGCACATATTTTACCCTTTTTTTTATGTATAGGGCCTTGGTATATTTTCATGCAAGCAGTTCCCTTGTTTGACCACATTCTATGCTTGTATGATTAGGTACCGTTGTTGACACTATGATATGTCACCCCAGCGAATTTGACTTCTTCCTTTGTAGTCATGCCGGGATTCAAGTAAATTTGATTTCCATTGAATATTGTTTAGAATTTGACTTCTTCCTTTGTAGTCATGCCGGGATCCGAGTAAATTTGATTTCCATTGAATATTGTTTAGATACGTAGGATATTTTGCTTTGTAATTATAATCGGTTTTTGCATTTCCTATCAGGGAACTAGCCGTCCAACACATTACCATGTGCTGTATGATGAGAACAGATTTAATGCAGATGCTTTACAAATGCTAACCAACAGCTTGTGTTATACGTAAACCATCCTTCCTAAAACTTATATTTTTTATGAATGTATGATTGTTTGATGCTGCTTTTATGTATTCATAATTGGAAACCTTTTGCTTTCAGGTATGCCAGGTGTACTAGATCAGTTTCTATAGGTTAGTCTTTGCCTATGCTGATTGCACTCTACCCTGTCATCTTTGAGCATCATTAGTTGAGCTTAAAAATAAGTTCGAGCAACTTGTCAGGACAAGTTTATTTTGTCTTACTTTTAAGTCAAAAAGGTTATATCCAATTTAAATACTTCACAACAAATTTATTTATCTGCGTACTTTTTAAACTTAGCGAAGCATGCTCTATGACGTATTGTATTTTGCTTTTCATTGTGCCATGTGATGGCACATGATTGGACGGGTTTAAGAAACAACACACTTTCCCACCCAACATTTTTGAATTCCCACACAATGTCAACCAAGATGTAATCTATGGAATATACACTTAGAGTGTGTTTGATTGGCATTAAAAATATTATCTAGAAAAGAAAATATTTTCCATCTTTTGTGGAAAATAAAAACCACCTCTACCCAAGGAAAATATTTTCCTTAAAAACAAGGAAAATTAGGTATATTTTCAAAAGTTGGAAAATGTTTTCCATGGAAAAAATTAGCAATCAAACACTCCAAATAGGAATTTGGTTGGAAAACTGATATTTTTCATGGAAAATAAATGTAATCAAACACACCATTAGTTCTTTGTTTTTCCAACTGCTAAAGAATGTCCGATTACCTATGCAGTTCCGCCTGCTTACTACGCGCATTTAGCTGCATTCCGTGCTCGCTATTATATTGAGGGTGGTGAAATTTCTGAGAGCGGATCCTCATCTGGAGGTGGCAGCACCACGAGAGAGAAGAAAGCGGAGGTCCGCCCGTTGCCAGTTATTAAAGATAACGTGAAAGACGTCATGTTTTATTGCTGAACGAGAAATGTCAAATTTTTTTGTCGCTGAATTCTAAGTCTCGGCTTGTTTTCACACTAACACTTTGGGTGATGAGCATAGCTTTTTGCTTAACTTAAAACTTCCAGCGTGCTGTGGCTCGTTTTGAGTGCTGAATGAAGTGATTACTCTTGGCTTTTCAAATACTTGTGATGTGAATTTCTCTACTTTTATAACATATATCCTTTACAAAACTCATGTTATCATAACATACGACTATTGTACAATGAAAAATACTTTTCGTCCACGCTTCCCGACTTCTACAGATGAATATCGAACAGGGAACTTGTAAAGTATCATATATTTTTCCCATTCATTCCCTGGGTGTCATAAATGTCGTAAAAACACAAAAGATGGCCATTTGCAAGAAGCAAGCCAGGATGCTGTTCTTCATCAGTTTGCATTGATTAATGTGCGACGAACTGCTGTCGACTCGTGCAGCATTGAAAAGTTCGGTATTACCAGTACTGGTGGTTTCAGACACATTTACAGACGAACCTGAAGGACATAAAATTCAAGTACATTGTGTCTGTAAGCATCAAGAAATACTAAAACCCTGGAAGTTCATTAGTTGTATACAAAGAATCAGCATGACACGCACATAGCTCGAAAGGTTCTTATAACTGAAAATGTGAAAATGAAACTTACAGTCGTAATTTGCCCATCCAATCCGTTGACCAGCCAAATCATATACAACAATCTTATCTTTCAAAACGAGATCTATCAAAGATAATAAAAAAGAAACAAGTGAAAGACAAATAGCACAAAAATAAAATCATATACAACAATCTTATCTTTCAAAACGAGATCTATAAAAGATAATAAAAAAACGAACAAGTGAAAGACAAATAGCACAAAAATCCTGTGTCCGACTTGCAATGGGTGCATGCATGAACATGGAGCAGGAGCAACCCTGTTTGGCTTAGCTAAAAAATCTAATTAAAATCTAAGTCAAAGTCAATAATCAATTTTAACCATATTTCATAGGACCCACTACTTTCAATTACACATTACATCAGTTTTTATCAAAATCTAGAAAAAATCTGATTTTTATTAAAACCAAACAGGGTAAAATGTGTGTGCATGTAGAATACTCTTACCTCCTAAAATTGTAATCCCCTGTCCCCCATTTTTCTGAAAGGCCAAGCACCAAACTGCAGCATCACTCTGCGCAAGCAATTAAGACGAATTACCATCTTAATGATTCAGAAGTTTGATAAAATAAGAACTGCAAACTAACAAAACCGATTCCTAGTAATAAAGCAGGTCTAACATTCCCAAATCCAGTGGTCAAGCTTGTTTGATTCAGACATAGAAGAGTAAAATGTCATCAAATCCCAACCGAAATGACAATAATACAGGGTAGACATGAACTGTTAACTTACAATAGAGTTCTGCTGTACGAGGTAATCTTCAGGCTTTAGAATCATTGATGCGCCACCAGCAAAGTTTAAATTAACTGGAGGAAATATGTCCGAGACACTGAAGAAAATTTAAATAGCAGATTAAAAATAAATTACTGATTACAAAAAAAAGTCACTTTGATATTCCATTCCAGAAGAAAACCTGGAGGTGATTATATAACACTGGTTTCCCTTGGAAACAATGGGGTGGACAGATTGTGAAACAGCCTGTGTAATCTACACAGAAAGATTGCTAATCAAAATACTTGAAAGTGAAAAAAATTGATTATTATATGCGTCAGTTAAATCAAATTCTTTCCAGGCAACTTACTGCGGTAACAAAAGGATCATAAGCCTCGTCTGCAAGGTATGCCAAAGTTGTTCCAGAATCAATTATTGTTCCTCGGGTGTCTGATGTTGCAAAAACTGTTGGATCAATGGGTAAGGTCTGGCCTTTAACAGAAATGCTCTGCAAATTTACATTATAATGTGGCCTGAAAATTTGGAAAGAAGGGGTCAAAATGGAGCATAGAACTGGACAACATCAAGGAAGAAAGAAATGCTAAAATCTCGTAGATTATACTGTTGAGAGAATGGAGTATTCTCGAGTACTGAATTTACCAAACATGCACTGTGCACCTATTTTATAAAATAACATTTAAGCTGACGGATATAGCATTATTTGAAAGTTATAAGGAGAGAGATCAAATATGTTATGATGAAAAAACAAAAAAGCACCAGAAAACCTTATATGCAGGACAGGACTAAGATCAAGTTTGGCTAAGAGAGGAAGAAGTAAAAGTACTTCTTTGAAAGGTAATTAAGGACTGACTTTTAACAAACTAAGTTCTTTAAAAGAATTACTTTTAACAAAATAACTTCGTTAAAAGCTACACTTAAGTGTTTTTTTGGGCTAACATGTATGGCAAAGTAAATCATTTAAATTTAGCTTTTAAGCTTAAACATTTGTTCAACTAAGCTTAAAAGTTACGTGAAAGTACTACCTTTTTCCACTCGAGCTAACTTTCTCTAGATCATCCAAAATTGTAATCCAACAAGAAAAAGAATAATTAAACTATTCATGCTCAATTGCTATATCCATGGAATACAAGAAGAAGCTGATTTCGACCAATGAACTCAGCTCAAAATGTTCATTTACTCAGTAAGAATTTACAGGCATCGTAAGTGGAATATTTAACAAACTATAGCTTCAAAAAATGAAGCCAGGACAAGTTGATCAAACAAGTATAACCAATCTGAAGGAATTAACAGAAAACAATCGAATTCGTCTAAATTTAGTCCAAAAAATGTAGAAAGACATTGAAAACAACCGGTTTGCAAATGAGCTTCCATTTGGGCTCCATTTTATTCAAAATGAATTTTTCTTTTTCTTCTTCTTCTTTTCAACCACACATTCTCCAATAAAATAATATTACATATAAATCCAAAACTTTTTTTTTTTTTTTAATTAAACATTCTTCAAAAAATCACTGTACAAAATACATTTTTCCCCAAAAGTTGATTTTAATGAAGCCCAAACAAGGGCTTAATATCCTAAGACTAGAAATCTTATATCAATAACCTAAAAATCTTAATTTTTAATGTTTAATTTTTTTAACAAAACAGGTAGAGTGAGGTGTATATTGTAGGACAGACATCAACTGGTACAACTTCAGTGAGGAGCACTAGCAAAAATAGAAATTCCTAAATCTGATTTCTCTGCTTCCAATTTTTTTACATAGATTTTAGACCAAAAAAATCAACTAATGCAGGATATCGGAAATCAATACTGATTCTTTGTTTCTCAGCTTTTTTGAGGCCCGAGTGAAGGCACGTGAGTCAAAAGGATTCACAATAAACAATCATCAAAAGAAATAGAAGAGAAAATAAATATGAAGCACAACAATATGTTGTGGCCTTCATCTGAATCAGAAAATGCCAAAACGTGGAGTTCAAATAATAGTGAATCAAGAATCCAGTTCTCCTCAAGAATCTCACTCAAATTCATCCAACTATTCACAGTGAATTATTAATAATATAAGAAAAGCCTAATTTTCAAGACCTCTGTTTTTGTGAAATGGTAGCATGAAACAAGCGGCACAAGAATATCTAACATTAGGCGGGTAATGAAAATTGTAGAGCTGAGGAGTACATACTGTAATGGGACAAGTGGAGTGTAAACCATGTTTGGCTCGACAACCTGACCAAGCACCAATGTACCACCACCCCGGCTGCCACCTTTCAAGCAGTGAGAGAATGCATTTGGGGTGACACCGATTGAAGATAGTTGTGAAATTACAGATAAGCCCTGCTGCCCAAAACCAAATATACCATCAACTGCCCTATCTGACTTGGTAAGATCCCCCGTCTGTGATGTGCTACAACTGTATCAAAACAATCGTGGGAAATGCAAGTAGGTTGATGAAAAATACAAATACATACGAAAAACTATAGTATAACATATCGATAAGAACTCACCCGAAAATAACAGGAGCAGAAGAATTTGAAGTTAAAGAATTCCCAACAGTCTTGTTGAAATACATTAAATCTGATATGTAATAACCTGATGTTCCACTACCATCCACATACTGAAATGTGTATACACATTTATTCTGATCTGAACATCCTGACTCAGAAGTCTGAGCTCCCAAAGCACACCTTCGGTCGGAGCATGAGAGAGGTGAAGCTGTCGATGAGCTGGACGGATCAAAGAACTTGAGCTTCATCTGCTAATATGATGTCTGGTCATTTGACGCTCCAAAACAAAAAGGAAATTAAAATGAAAAAGAAAAAAAAAAATTTCATCAAGATTTTTGGATTTACTTCGAGTTCGGTGGATGTAGGGCAACCATTACAAGAATTGCAACTGACCCATAAGACATCACTTCCTGTATCTATCTGCACATAGAATTCTTTTGGAGGAGTACCCAGTTGAACTTTTGTATAGTATAGCCTAGGGAACAAGGGCTATGATGCAGTGAGTTTCAATTCATTCAAAACCATTGTCCCTTACATGAATTTGCACGATACTACCAAATAACAACAACAAACTAAACTAAACCTTATCTCCAATTAATTTAGAGTCAGCTACATGAAATATTTTTGCCATTCCATTCTGTTCGTGCAAAGCCAGTCCATTTAAGAACCCAAATAAGCTTGACTATTTCCAGGGTGTATTTTTTAACTCTGCACATATATTATTCAAAGCTATTTTTAAGCTCGGGTAAAGGATGAGGGTGGTAGGAGGTTAACAGCCAATATAAAACTAAGTAAAATCTCATATTATGAATCAAAAGGCACAGTTTTAATAAAAGCATAATTTAAGAAATGCTGATGCCCTCGTCCAATGTTTGTTGGGTCGGTGTTGAATATAATTAAAGAAGAAAATAAGCTAAAATTTTATTCATGGTACCATACAATGTTGTCCCTTTGTTACATATTTTAAAATAGATTATTCAAAAACTTTTAACAGAGTAAGGTTCAGAGATAATTTAATCAATGGTCACTTAACTTTGTTATAGGTTACCATTTGCTCGCCGATTTTGAAAAAGTTACTCGTTGGTCATTGAACTTTGCTATAGGTTATTATTTATTCATCAAAATTTAAAAGGTTACTTGTTACTCACCTAAATTAGGTAACATTGATGTAAATGATATAGGCCATTGATGGGTAACTTTGTTTAAGTTTGAGTGAGCAACGAGTTACCCTTTAAAGCAGAGGGTAGCTTTTTAAAATTTCAATTAGCAACTAAAAGTTCAGTAACCATTGATTAAATTAACTCTAAGGTTCAAGATATGACCCAAAATGCAGTAAAAGGTATTAAAAGTTGAAACTTTTGTGCATTATTAATAAATAAAAAAATACTCAATAAGAGTAATGTTCAATTATATCAATAAGAATATGGAGATATTTCTAAATGCTGCAAAGCAGGAATTTCTGCCATATAAAGCTCAAACTTGTAGTTGAAATTCAAGAAACGAGCTCCACTGTATAACCCCATCTATGTGGCACTAACGTGACATTAAATTTTACCTTTCATTTAGCCTATCATATTTCGCACCACGGGAGTGAGACTATAATGCATTATTCAAAATCCTAAGTGCTTAAATATGTAAACATTAATCAGTGGGTAAAATCTGGGCTTGAATTCAGGTGAATTGTTGCTATGCTTAAACGATGCATATACAACTACAAAAAATTGTGTATATATAAATTTACCCAACAACAGATGGATCATAGGTGCCTTCAACGTCAAAATTGACGACTCCAGGAGGTTTTTGTTGCAAGATTCTGTCGTGTCGGAGAAGATCACGGTCCCTCAGTTGACTCAGCTCCACCCCGTCGTGACTCGCTCTCTGCAGATTCCACGACAGGCTTTTCCCTCCGTCACCCAGCACCATCTCCGCCACCACCACTAGCACCACCGCCACCGCCACTTTCTCCGGCGACATTTCTTTCTGAATTTCTTGTCTTTCCCTTTACTTCCCACAACAAAATAAATTATTTTTATACATGATTACATAGGGATCAAATATATACGCTTGTTAATATTCTTTTATATTTATGCGAATTTTGATAGAATCGAGAATGTGTGTGTGAGAGAGAGAACAGCCGATAACAACAGAAGTTTCAAATTTGTGGAATTACGTTGGACTTTGTATCCAGGCACGTTGCATTTAGATATTATTTTTTATATGAGGCGTAAACATAAAAAATATATACATTAGAAGGCCAAAAATAAAAATAAATTATGCCCTCTTTGATCCATTCTCTTTAAACTTATTTTTAATCATAAATTATGTGAAGAAAATATTAAAAGCTCGATTTTTTTCAAAAAAGGAAAATGAAAAATTACGTCGATGATTAAAATCAAAATAATATATACATAAAATTTTTTAAAAACCCATTAAGTCCCGAGTATCGTTCTACCCTTTTCCACTCTAAAAAAAATATACAGATTGAAAATGAAAAACTTTCATTTGCAAAATAAAAAAACTTTTATTTTAATTCTTACTTTATTATCATTAGAACCGTCAATTTCAATATAGTTGAATTATGGATCTACCTATTTGTCTTAATCATGTTTTCAACTGGTTATTTGTTTTGGACCACAATATGATACCGTATTATTGGACATAGGCTAAAGCTCTTAAAATGAGACAACTTGAATTGATTCGTGACTCACCCCCTTTTTTTTTTTTTTTTTTTTTTTTTTTTTTTTTTTTTTTTTTTTTTTTTTTTTTTTTTTTATACACTTATCATGTTGAGCCAACTAGTGACTTACGTGAGAAAATTGCTACTTGACTCGCGCTCGCTACCTCTCTCGAGCCCAAGCCGACTAGTTAGCAGGATGAGTCAAGTCGACAAGCAGCTCATTCCATTGAACACCCCTACGTTAAGTTTTTATGAAACTATAATAAGCTCTTTTGGTTGAGGTTTAAAAAATTTCTTTATAAATAATTTATATTTAACAAAAAAAAAATTAAAAAAGAGATTGTCGCTTTTTAAAATAAAAATGTATCACTATTTTAACAAATCATTCTAAATTAGAGCCCATTTGAAAGGGATTTTTTATCCAAAAAATTAATTTTTTGACCGTTATTTCACTATTCCAGCCGTAATTTTTGATTTCTTCTCTCACAGGTGAACCCCACTTTTCTTCTAACAGTCAAAAAATCAATTCTCAAAATCCCTCCCAAACGGTAATGAAATATGGGACATTGAGATGTGATACACTAAGATAATTTAAAATGTTTCGTTTGGCAATGAAAAGATTAGTGAGTCCTAAATCAAATAATAAGGGTTATACACTAAGATAATAAAAAGGAATATGATTTTCTTGCTTTATCACCAAAAAAAAAAAAAAAATACTATTTAAAAAAATTTAATTACAGTTTTAAAGAGAATTTTACTTATTTTTTTTTTTTCCTATAATTTTAATTTGTATTACATATAGAATGAATTTATTCTTTAATCTTAGACGGGATACATATTCTCAATTTAATTTAGCATTTTAGCTTCAATTTGACAAATTCATAATTTATTTATAAAGAAAAATAGTAATAAATATGCGACTAGTATATTTAAAATTATAAATATATTATTAAAATTAATATTTAATTTTGATGAAAATTATAAACCATCGATAAATTGGTCGGCAAATGAAGACATAATAATAACCACTTTGTCGTCCTCAACCATTTAGCATTAATTGTTGAAGGAAGCGCAACCGACATTTCTTTATTTTAGCGTTACAACTCAGCATTGATCTTTTGGCTGTACTCATCATTGATCCAATAATTCTTCTCATACAGTTTGCCAAGCAAAACGATCATTGAGCCCAGTCTGTTTCCATTATTTCCTCATTAAAATAAAAAAATATGATCGTTATTCATCATATTAAGCAATCAAATTTAAATTTTTATTTCTTGTATGAAGCCCATAATATCTATATTTTTCATTCTCATTCTTCCAAAAATGAGAAACAAAACAGAGTGAATTTAGATACAATAAAATCAATTTTTTGATCGTTATTTCACTATTTCAACAGTCATTTTCGAATTCTTCTCTCATAGATAAGACATATTTTATCTCTAACGATCTAAAAATTAATTATCAAAATTTTTATCAAACAAGCACTAAAACTACTCGAATAGGTTAAAAAATAAGGTAAAAAGCGGGGATTTAAGAACGTTGATGTGGCATTAGTTAATGGCTACTTGGAGGGGCTGTGTCACCATGTCTCACACCCTGTGCACACCCTGTGTACAGGGTCCTGTGCAAAGAGAAATATCCAACTTGGAGGGACATATCAAAGTGGAAATTGCATTAACAAATATATATATGCGGAGTTAAAAAATACGCTCTGGACATAGGGTTATTTTCCCTCCACTTTGCTGTAAATCAGAAAAAGTGCCAAAATCCAAACCTCTCTTCTCCGGCCGCCTCGGCGCACTTTCGCCAAAGTTGTATTCAGTGTCTCTCTGTTAAAAGTTCGAAAAATCTCAACCTCAAAATTTCAAAATTGGGCTGAAAATAGTTGCCTACTTAACGGTACTCTTGACTTTGATTCATTGTTTGATTGATGATCTTCCTCATATATATAGTTTCTTGTTGACTGAACTAAAGTCTTATCATATTCCTGATTCCTTTTTTTCTTGGTTTTGTCTACAGTGGTATTCAAGAAAATGAATTACAACGCCGACGGTCCAAAGCTTGATTTGAAAAAACTGAATTTATCCCCCACCAAGGGCATATATTCATGTTGAATCTCCCAATCGATCAGTTTCATCTTCAGAGATATCATCTCCAAGTTCATGTTTTTTTCTGGAAGTTAGCTCGGACGAAACTCTACGCAGCCCCTAAGGAGACTACGATGATGCTGGTCGGTTGTCCTCGATGTCTAATGTATATTATGCTATTGGGAAAGGACCCGAAGTGCCCCAAATGTAAGCGCACTTCCTGCAAGAGGACAGGACAAGGAAATCAAAGAAGTGAAGATCCATTAGTCTTTTGCTAAATCTTGATCAAGAATGTTATTACTTAATTTTCACTCCAAATGCTCCCTGTTTTGCTTCTTTTGTTGTGCTAATTTTTTATTTTTATTTTTTGCTTTTTTAATCTTTGTATTGTCGACAGTGTAGAAACTATTGAATTCGCGTGTACTAGATAGGACAATAAAATTTATTTTTGAACCCATTTGATTCAGTTCAATCCAACATATTAAACATGATACTTACATATTCTTTCTTTAATATCATTTCGCTCTTAAGTTTCATATTTTGATGAGGTGTATTGTTGGTTTCATTTTGTAACGTGTATTCTAGGTTTGGATGAAGAGTTTGGATTTTTGGGCTTTATATATATGAATCAAGTTGCTCGGTGAACATGCCTCTCACACAAGGGGTGGGGCCCGCACATTAAATGCGCCGAACCCCACTCCCCTCAATGCAATTTCCACTTTGCTGTACCTCCATCCAAGTAGCCAACAACTAATGCCACGTCTGCATTTTTAAATCTCTGTTTTTACCTTGTTTTTTAACCTATTCAGTAGATCTATTGATTTAGATATAATTTCAAATCAATTAGAGAATATTTGATAAAATAAGGTATGCTAATAAAAAAATAACGTTGATGATTACATTTGACAAGAAATTGATTTAGATGTAAATTTAGTTTACTTTTAATTGTTTGTTCGGTAGTTCTATTTATTATTTATAAATTGTGAGTCATAAGAAATGTCTGAATAATTAGTGTAGATAAAAATTATACTTGGCTAACTTAAATTATGATTTATGTTCTACTAAGAGTGCTCCGAGTACAACTGAATATATTGGGCTAAGCTTATAAGGAATATACAAGTTATGTTGCTCCTATTCCCTGCATAGAGAGAGCACACATAGTCGTATTGTGTAACCCTCATCGGACACCGCATAGGAGCACTATGAACCAAATTCCGTCTAGACACACAAACCACGTGAGAAAATATGTGCAGCTCTTGTTCCAATGCATTATGCGATCCGCGTTGAGGTTCTTGTTAAGTTCTACCAACGTGCAACCTAGTTAGGTCAATGGTAATCCTATGACCACTTTGACTTGTCCAATATAGAGTGAAAGTGACAAACTACAAACACTATGCCTTAAGGCAGTCTTAAGCTATTGGTTTGTGACGATTGCCCTAGTAACAATAGAGTTTCCCACAAGATCTTTTCAATGATGGCAAAGATCTTTCGACACCATTGTACTTCGTTGCAGACATTTTATGACTTGAAAAAATTTAAGAGACGATCTCAAATTTCATAGATATCTGAGTAAGGCGGACCACCTTCAAATACATGGGAGCAACCATAAAAAGTATATAAAAAAATAAAAAATGGTAACGATTAGATTAAAGACCTACGGACAGAGAGACCACATCAACCAAGTGCGGGGCAAAAAGGTCATAGATACACATGACCTAAATTCCCTATAAAATACCCTATATTTGCAAAAGTTAAAGGTATGAAATATTTCATAATCCTAGCCAAAACATTGTCTATTTATTTCTCCCACACTATTTTCGATATCTAACTTGAGCTACGAACTTTAAATGTTCACCAAACTATCCTTGGTAGAACGACCATGAATTCTAATGATTTCCCAGTGCGCAGGTGAAATATAGGCGGGCAGAGGGTTATAATTATTTGTTAACCACCAACAAGTTAATAACTAAGTTTTAAAAATATATAGTTAACTTTCTAATATAAAAGCTCTAAACTACTCCATGTTAATTTCTTAGACAGATTAGCATATATGTGTATTTTTGTGTAAAAAAATAAAAACCTTGATGCATTGCAAGTCAACTTTCTTGGTCCTTTATAGTGTACTTGTGGTTCTTCATGTCAAATATTACTGCTATATAACATATGGGCCATGGAATAAACTCTTTGTACAGACACATTTACACAGGATCTGTACAGGGCCTCTCACATGGGAGGTGGACCCCACATGTGGACCCCATGTGTGGGGTCCACCCCCATGTGCGAGCATCTGTACAGATTCTGTGCAAATGAGTCTGTACGAATAGCATTTCTCATGGGCCATGCGCCTCCAATTAATGAAAATGATCAATCTTTATTATGCATTAAATGAAAATAAATGAAAGTTCTTAGTCCTTAGAATAATTGAAATCTTTATATATCTGAAATATTCTGGGGATATAAAAGATCTGCAAGCTCTTTATTTAATGAAAACCGTAGTAATTCTACTTCTTTAAGCTTAAAAGATCAGCATAATACTTTGTAATCCATCCTTTAATAATTTGGATCTCTTTTTTGCGCTGCATGACCAACCACTGTGGATCACTTGGTTGTGCTACACGTATGTCCAAGCAATGAGACCCTGTAAAATTCAATAAAAAATAAAATTTAAAATTAGTTCAATTTTCACTTTTATATTATGAATATTTAAATACTTCAAATATATATATATATTTTGTAATATCTTAATCTTGAAGTGTACATTTGTTTATTCTATACATATTAAATTGTCAACCTTATTAAAAAGAATATTACAAATCTTATATGTTAGTTTATAATCTTAGCACACTTACTAACGATAATAAATTTTAGCAATTCGACAAATATCAATCAAGTAGTAAAAAGCTCAAATAATAGATTCTAACTCAAAATTTAAAGAGTCTATCGAATTCAATGCGTACCATTAGTCGTGTAAATGGCCACAACACTTTCAGATATGTCCTCTAGCACCCTGTAATTTGTCTTCCAAAATGAATTCGACAAGCTAAGATCATAGAATTGAAATTAAATATCTAAAATAATAAGAATTTTGTCACAATATAATGTCTATTACCCTCCACTGCTGTATGGATCTCTTAGACCATTGGAGAAAATTATGTTGCTTGCAAATCGATGGAGAACCAATTTAATATTCTGCACATTGTATTATTTTTAGTGTTATTAGAGTGAATATAATTTCAAAAAAGGGTGAAAACATTATTCATGTAAAAATTACGGGTTAAATGTATAAATAAAAAAACATACATGGCCTCCATAATAAGCTGTGACCCAATGTGGTCGAGGTGAGACACCGTACGAGCTCTTGCAATCTTCAGAAAATTTTGATAGATTGAAAGGCGCCGAAGGAAACATAGTATCATTCGATCCGCGACCAATAGGTATCACCATTTCACTGCATGTCTAAAAACCAAGCCACGATTTCAGATCAATTATAATTAAAGCACATGGATTGTTCTACGTACTAAACTACTTATAACTAAAGAATTCTACTTATCAAAGGTTATTGAATAGAAGACATGTGTCATATTTGGTATATAGGGCTAAAGATGTAGATACCTGCTCCCTGTCCCGGCTTGGGGACAGGGTCAGGGACAGTGGCGCCCCCCCTATTGGAGGGGCGCCTGTCAGGTAGGGGACCCCATGTGGCGTCCTTGTCTTCAATCCTATCCTCAAGTCGGAACAGGGGTTTTTTTCCAAAGATGTAATAGATGTTTCTAACTTGAAGCATATCCGACTAAGCTTAAAAAGTTTAAAATGACATAAAAAGGATTTTTTTTGTTTGTTTGTTTGAGTTAGGCAAATTTTGCAAGTCTATTATAAGAAGCTGACATAAATGCTCGTTTGATGGAGGATTCAATTAGAAGCTATCTTAGATCAAATTTCTTAAAAAATTATTCTAAAAAGACAAAATTATTTCGAAAAATTATTAGAACAGGTTCAAAAATAGATTCTTAGTTTCAGAAAACAGTTTTTAACTTTTCAAAAGTTCTATCCAATGAGTCTTAAGATAGTTTCAACAGAATACTCTTATTTATACAAGAAGCAGAAGCAAAAGTTGAAGTTCAATCAAATGCTTTTAGCATTACTTTCAAATATTTTTTAGTTTTAATGCTTTTTTTATACTTAAAAAAGCAGTAACTTTGTTAAACATTTTGAAAACAAAATATAACTTATTTAAAAATTGCAGACGGAAAGTTGAAGAGAGTGAAAAATAATAAACTTAGGTAATCGAACTTAAATTGATTAAGAATATAATGTAGGAAGGTAACTCACTTGCCATTTCCATCCCAAACGTGTGTCAATGGTATAACTGGTTGCATTTGTATCATAGCATTTTTGTTTCCCTCTATAAGAGACAACTCCGGCGAAAATCCGGCCAATGATGTCCGTTGCATTGGGTGCACCGTCAATGCCATTGCAGACGAGTGTAACCGGATAATTTGGTGGGTGGTTATACTGAGCAGCTCCAGAATACATTCTCTCCAAATAAAACTTTAGCTCCTTTGAACTTTTTAATTGCCTGAACAGTTACAAATAGAAATATATATTATTTGTAGTTAAAAAAAAAAAAAATTTTTTTTTTTAAAAAAAAAAAAAAAAAAAAAAAAAAATATATATATATATATATATATATAATATTTTTATTTTAGTTTCAAGATAAGTGAATTATTTATTTTTTCAACTTTGAGTAGTTAGTTTACAATCTTACTTGTTTATTGCAAGTAAATTTTTTAAGCACTAGTAAACAAGCTCTTAACAATCGAAGAGTTTAAGGATAATAGAGAGAATTTACGAGCAAAGTTTGAATTTTCGACTGAGAATAGAGAGGCCATTGGGCTTGGAAGCTACTTTTTCAATTTGAGACCATGATTCTCGAATAGTTTCATAACAAGTATGGCTCACTTCCTGCAGATATCCGGCCCGACTATGAGTTCAAGTATCATGTTCACTGCATATAAGAATTTCACCTAGCGAACTTTTGTTGGAAATATAAATAGATACGAACTGCATAAAATGAGCGGATTCTGCCTTCTTATGTTGTTTTTATTACTTACCTTAAAATCCTTGGTTACGATTGAGAAATATCCATTTTGTGGAGTTATGTCATCGAAATAAAGAATAGGTGCTGATGATGCCAAAGCACCAAGAGCAATGTGTGGATACTTAAGTCTAAACCATGAAGCAAGCACTGCAAAAAATATCACATATATTTGTTACATATATACAGAATTATCCCTTAATTTATTTATAAAGTTAGATACATGAACGTCATGTAATGATTTAACGAAAATTTGGTTGTTATTTCGATAATAATTAAGTATGCATCTATAATGAAAAATTAAGGAAGACTAACGTATAACAACGTAGATGGAAATGAATGATGAAATATTCTTACTTCCTCCATACGATCCTCCAATGACAATAATGGGAGAATTGTGGGCAGATAATTTATCCTTTATGTAAATCAAAATCTCTGCGTAATCAGCCATAGCTTGAGCTGAGGTAAGATATCCACGAATTGTATCATTTTTCATGGCTTCTTCCATTGATCCTAAGGGGCTTGATTTTCCGTAATAACGATGCTAATTAAAGATAAACAAGAAAAGAATTATTTATAATCATTATTAGATAAAAGGATTATAAAGAGGAATAGTAGTGGGTTTCACAAAATTTGTGAATAATAATGAGTAGTAGATATGAATATGTGATAAAATTAATGTTTGATTTCGACTGAATTTGTAAACGATTTATATATTGTGCATCCAAACAGAAGGTCGTTTTATATCTTTGTTTGAAAGTCGCATAACTTTGGGGTCCATAGTTGAAGTGGTCTAGGGTTTGTGTATAAAAATATGTCTTGAAATCATTTGAAATTGTAGGAGAAGATACTGTATCAGATTCAGGGTTGTGGTCTATTAGGATTGTTTCTCCAAGTGTATCAAGAAATGGAATTTCGTGTGGTTCTACTGATGAAACGTATGCAAAGATTTGAAGAAGCAGCAGACAGAATGAACGGTAGAAATATCTAAAAGAAAGTATTCGAGGAGAACTATTTTGTGCTTCCATCTTCATTCTTCTGAGTTCTGAGTTTGTTACTTGTGTACCTGTGTTTTAATCATTTCATCTAAATATATAAAGAAAATTTCTATAGTTGAAATATTCGTAAAAAAAAATTATTCTAAAAAGAATATTTCTCGTTAATTATCGATATTATCATCTATTCGAACAAAGTTTTGTGTCTATTCCTTTTGCACAAATTCCTTGTTAACTTCTCTATTTTTAAAAAAAAAGTTCATATACTTTATTTATCAAAACAAAAATGTAAACATCAGAGTGAAATCTAAATATTTGGCTGTATCGAAACGCCAATTTGGAAATAATTATGTAAGCAAAAAAAGGTCAAAGCAAGAAAATACATATTCTTACTTGGTGAACTCACAAAGTATTTGATCCTTTTGAAATTAATTTACAATCACAAAATATTTAAACTTTTATAATTTATAAATAAATAAAAATAAATATTCTAACCAGTCAAAGCCAATCGATCTATTTAATACCATGAGTTAAATCAGACCGATTAAAAGTTGTGGAAATTACGGTCTACTTTTAAATATTGCATTTCAAAAATTAGAAGTATAGTTTATATATACAAAATTCAGATGATAATACAATTTTTAATATTAAATAATAAGATTATAAAATTCAATTAATTATATACCCACCCAAAACCCTAATATCCATTTTCTCTCTCTATACCCCTCATTTCTCTCCTCTCTTTATCACCGTCGGAGATTTTGTAAAGCGACGCTCCATACATCACCACAGCAGTGACATCACCTTCAAAACAGACATCACCTTCAAAACAAACATCACTACCATAGATCTGTTAAGAAGACAATGACGACAGCTCTGTCATAAACAGCAACGAGTGCCGCTGTTTCTTGGTGGTCTAGATATGTGTGTCTGACACAAAGGGTGTGAATATGTGGTGGTTCGATGGTCCGCATTAGTGTGTGTGGTATTGCCTATGGTGGTTTTTGCAATGATAATGCTAGTGGTGGTGGTGCGGTTGGTGTGACATCACCTTCAAAACAAACATCACTACCATAGATCTGTTAAGAAGACAATGACGACAGCTCTGTCATAAACAGCAACGAGTGCCGCTGTTTCTTGGTGGTCTAGATATGTGTGTCTGACACAAAGGGTGTGAATATGTGGTGGTTCGATGGTCCGCATTAGTGTGTGTGGTATTGCCTATGGTGGTTTTTGCAATGATAATGCTAGTGGTGGTGGTGCGGTTGGTGGAGAGGTGTGCAGCGACAATGGTTTTAGGGGTTTGGGTTGGTTTCTTCCTTTGATTTGCTTCATCAGAGCTTTGGGCGGTCCTCAATCGATTCTTTGGCCATAGTCGAATGGCATAATTTGATGTTACGTAATAACAACCACTTTTCTTACCTTGTTCAATCAAATCATTAATTTTTATTTTCATTCATGTTTTTTAGTTTTCTTACCGATAAGTAACTTCATTTCTATATAAACACGCAGAATAATTAATAATTTTAACTTTCCAAATCTAGAATCAGGAATGGATTACTCGTAAAAGTTACTTTTTGCTTTACAAATGGAAGTGATTTTATCTGTTGGTTACAATATTAAAAACGCAAGAAAAATCTTTAAAAAATGTGTTTTTTCATCAAAACAAGGTAATTTCATTCCGTTGCCCAATCCCCCAATAAAATATGAGTCATATCGAGTCCCTAAATGATACAAGACGATTTATTTTATATCTCTAGATGTGTTTATTTACTTAATGCAAACGATTAAAATAAAATAAATTATTTAACCTGATTTGAATTTGATATAGAACTCCTTGAAAAAATAGAACCAACAAATTATTCTCACTTTTTTAATTTATTATAAAAATGTGAACAAATATGTGCTCGTTAAAAAATTGTCTAACCGTTTGCTCAATGTATGTAGTTTTATAAGTAGCATGTCTTTGAAGTAATTTAAAAACCTAACACTTTTTTGCAAATTTTGATAGTTAGAACTTAGAAAATTCAAAATCTGATTAAAGTATTCTTAATAATGGCCAAGCCCTGATTCAATTTGTGCCATATACCTCGTTCATGCTCCTCATCTTTTATGTTTCCACTTTTAGCCTATATTTGGAGGTTTAAAAGATCGAAATGCCCTCGACATTATTCCCCCAACTACCCAATCGCACAACATTAAATGGGCATTATGGGCATTTCGTAACTACTTTCCACCCGGTCAAAGTTGTACCAGAAATGGTGAATATTATAACACATTTTGCCCCCATTTGAGTCCCCCAAAAAATAAAGAAAAATAAAAAAAGGATTTTATAATAGTAATTTTTTAAAGAATATGTGATTAAAAAGTGTAGAAAAGTTTGGGCATATGTGCAAATTATTTTGTTGAAAAAGTGTATAATTGAAAATAAGTTTGGGAAAAATGATTTTTTATATAATGGGGTTCAAACAGGGGCTTTATTGTATAGCACGGTCCCCAATCAATCCAAAAATGGGTGAGTTCTCGTTGCATGCGAATGGACAATGTTGTAATCGTGTATTGTTTAGAGTGAAGATATATGCCTTGTTTGGTTGTGATTAAAATTTAGATTTTAATTTAAATCAAAAATTAACAATAAATTTTAACTACGTCTTTTATGGATCTTAAAATTTTTCAACCACAGATTTCATCAACTTTTATCAAAATATAAAATATACTAAAAATATAATTTTAATCTCCACCAGACAATGACTATTTATTACAAAGTGATGAATGGATAGACAAATTGAGCAAAACTAACTCCTAGAAAATAGGTAACAACGAATCTGACCTATAGAAGCTCAAATACAAGATAACAAGAGTATAGATAAAATTTATTTTGATGTGTCCCCCTCAAGTTGGAGCTTGGGAGAAGAGTTCAATCTTGTCATCAAGAAGAAGAAATCTAGCACGAGTAAATGGTTTGATAAGAGCATTAGCAAGTTGATTAGCAGAAGGAGACATGTGCAGCCCGGAGACAACCACCTTGAACTTGATCTCCAATGAAAAAATGGCTATACGTTTCATTCATAAATAAAAAATTGGATTAGAACAAAGTTGAGAATCCCTAACGTTATTATAATAAACAACATGACTTGTAGAGATTGAAACACCAAGATCAGTTAACAATAAGTAAATCCAATTAAGTTCTATTGTTGTTGCAGCGAGTGATACTCAGTTTCAGTTAAGGATCGCGCTATAGTTCGTCACTTCTTTGAACTCCAAGGGATGGCATTCTGGCCAAGATGACCAATATAAGCACTTGTGGAGGAAAAATCATTATGATTGCTAGCCCAATCAACTTTGGAGAAGGCAAGTAATGTAATGTGATAAGTGTGTATTTGCACACTTAGGGGTGTTTAATAGTTACTTTTATGTAAAAATGTATTTTAAAATAGTAAATTGATGTGAAATGTGTTGTTGAAAAATAAGGAAATTTTTTTTATTTACGTGTAATATTATTTTAATAAAGAATGTGTGGTTGAAAAGAAAAAAGAAAAAAATGTCTACCAAACGGGACCTTATTATATTATTTAACAATCTAATTGCTGATTAAATGGTATAGATTTCTATTCATGATTGTGCATATTATGGCTTTTATAGGTCGAACCCCTAAATGAAAGACAACAACACAAAAAAAAAAAAAAAAAAAAAAAAAAAAAAAAAAAAAAAAAAATGTGAAAAGGGACTAAAATAGTGCAAAATTGTGAAGTTGGGGACAAGAATGCATAAGTGCAAAAAGTTGGAGGACATTGGATGCAATTTATGGAGTGCATAATTGAAAAAAGTCTAAATTTGAGGACCAAGGTGCAATATTTAGGGGACTTCAACTGCAAAATGAAACTAAATTCCATTATTGGCAGTGGCTTGGCGCCTAGAATTGTTGAGACCGATTTTATTGCTTTTCTAAAATTTAGGGACCAATAGTGCAATATTTCTGGATTTTAAGTGTGAAAACGTGCTGCTGGGATTCATCCTTCTTGGTTTTTTCTTTTTCCTTTCTTTTTTTCTTTTATTTTCTTCCCATTTTTCTTAGTATTTTGGGAATACAATCAAGAACACAAAGAAAATACATCAAAGGTTTGGAGAAATATTTGAGAAAGTTATAGTCAAGTTTCAAAAAGGGATTTTATCTATAGCTTTATATTTTTTCGATTATTTTGCCATATTTTTAATGCATTGTTATAAATATTCTCTCTTTATTAATTATATAATATGGGCTAAGAACTTTTATTGGGATTTGTGGTATTAGTTTAACCTAATTTTAATCTGTGCTCTTTGATGTTTAGCTACTTTTGAAATATTTGAGAAAGTTATAGTCAAGTTTCAAAAAGGGATTTTATCTATAGCTTTATATTTTTTCGATTATTTTGCCATATTTGTAATGCATTGTTATAAATATTCTCTCTTTATTAATTATATAATATGGGCTAAGAACTTTTATTGGGATTTGTGGTATTAGTTTAACCTAATTTTAATCTGTGCTCTTTGATGTTTAGCTACTTATTTTTTTGTATTTTTACTATTGTTGTTTCTTGCATTTACATTTATATGGCCAATGAATGATTATATTTAGTGATTTGTCTATCATTCGAAAGAAGATTATACATTTTAGACTAAATAGTAAAAACTCTAGATTTGTGTAGGGGATAGAGATATATCCTTAATTCTA